AACGGGGGAGAGCTGGCCCTGGGGACAGGCCTTCAGCCGGGCCCTGCGCTTGGGGCCCTTCGGTTCCGGGAGTGAACCGCTTTCTCCACAGACCTCAGTGAAGGGGAGCAGCGATCTCGGTGCTGGGTGGCAGTGGTGGCCTTGAGAGCCGCCGCCTTGGGCCGTGGGAGTATCAAAGGCTGAGCTTAGACCCGGTGTTGGGCCTGTCTTACACGGTGCTGTAGTCGGGCAGGGTGAGTTTTAAGCTAATGAGGACATAAAAGCAGGCCCGTCCTGAAAAGTCTTCTTTGTCCAATGTAATTGCTGTGGCCCTGCGTGGATGTTATTAGGAGTTATATTCTAATAATTAATTTCTGTGTAAATTAAAACAAAACTGGCCAAACCCTGCCCAGACCAGTTGTCTGCTTGTTTCCAAGCCTAGCCACAAACAAGGGGTTTGCTTCTTTCCCCGAGCTGCTTCAAAAGCGTATCGACAGGTGAAGACAGTTGTGAGTTCCTGTATATATATAATCTCACAAGAGTGGTGTAAGTAAACAGGGTAAACATTATAGCCTATTAGTCGTTAAATTGTAGATGTCAAGGCTAAAATGTGTTGCTAGTGAAAGAAGAGCTTTTTTTTTTTCCATGGAAAAGAAGTGGACAGAAAGCTGTCCTCTGGTTTTTTTTGTTTCATTTTGTTCGGGAACCCCATTTCTTAATTAGACTGAAATTAAGCAGTGTCACTGTTCTAGAGTTGCTTCTCGTCCATGCCATGTTCTCTGGTGTCCCGATACCCATGTATATTTTTAATCAAGGCGATGTTGCAACTTCTTTTTAAAAGCTGTCTTAAAATAAGTAATACTTCTGTGTGGAAGTATACACAATATCATGGTGGTATGAATGTGGGTTTTGCAATACACTTAAAAATTACACAAATGTGTTATGTTAATAAACTTACTTATTTTAGGCACCTCCAAAAGCCATACCAAAGACTATTGAAAATCAGAGAGTGTACGATGAAACAACTGTAGATCCCAACGATGAAGAGGTAAGTGCTTAATTTCTGCATATGCTATTAAGTTCAGGGTGTTTTTTTCCAAGAAGGGACATAAAATGGATTGATGAAACTTACAGTTCACCACTCTCCTGTTAAGGTGTTGATGAATTACTTTTTACATGTGATGGGTTCACTTAGAGGTGATGTCATTCTTTCATTACCTACATTAGATAGTTACCTTTTGCATGACTGTTATTGGTAGTAAAACCTGCGAACGTTCATCACGCTAGATTCTTAAAAATGTAAAAAACACATGCCTTGTAACGATGAATTATAGGATAGGTCTCATGGTTTGAAATTTTTCGCAGTAAATTCAGTTTCATCACAGCTTAGATCAGATTGAACAATTGTTCTTGGATTATTTTATATATGGTGGATTAACAAGACTTCTGTTCTTCCAGGTTGCTTTTGATGAAGCAACTGATGAATTTGCACCGTACTTCAACAGACAGACAGTTCCCAAGATTCTTATTACAACATCAGACAGACCTCGTGGGGTACGTATGTTTTACTTGGAGAATTCTGAGCAATCAGCTGGTTATCAGATATCCAGGTTTTCATACTATGATTGGTAAACTGATAAATAATAGCTTTCACATGGATTTTTTTTCTGCTGTTTTATTTAGTGACTATTAATAACCTTGTGTATATGTCACTTTATTAGTTTCTCTAGCACAGCTTGTTTCCTTCGTAACAAAAAATAACCTTGTACATATGTTCCGATATGCAAATGATCTGCATTACCTAACTGGGGAGATTGCTAACATTTATGAAAACCATAAAAAAGTAGTTTTAAACTGTTCACGGTGTACTTTTTCCTATTTTTATCTGGGAACTCAGACATTAGTACCTGAAGAAATAGTTATATTGTGTTTTGAAATGTTACGAACCTTTTGTAAACCAATGTCCTTAATAAACAGTGAGTTTGGAGGTTATGCTTTTGGAATTTTCCTGCTTTTTCCATTGTAGAGGGAGGAAAAAAAATTCCTTTAAAAATTTTTTAAAAGTCCCTGGTGTGCTGCAGTCTTTACTGCAAGTAATTTTTTTTCCACTGACTGCATTAAGTAATTTAATAGCTTGTCTTCAAACATTTATAGAGCCTGGAAGTAATATATCATCAGGGAGAACAGTTGGAACGAGCTATCCTCCATTCCCCTAATACTGAATTTGGCACTGTATTTACTGCGTTGCAATTTAACTCTGCTGTTTTGCAGAGAACAGTGAGATTCTGTGAACAACTGTCTACTGTCATACCTAACTCGCATGTCTACTATCGAAGAGGACTGGCTTTGAAAAGAATTATTCCACAGTGTATTGCAAGGGACTTCACGGATTTAATCGTCATTAATGAAGATCGCAAAATACCAAGTATCCTTTTGTGTGTTTATTAAAATAGATATATTAGCTCTGGGCCTATTAGGGAAGAAAACAATTCCATAGCGTGCATCAAAGATCTACTTTATTTTGTATTTTTTCTCTTCACTGTGCAGCATACAGTGTAACTACGGTTAAAAAAATCACTGTGCCAACTTGAGTATCTGATGGCTAATGGAACTTGGAATTATTAAAGAAAGTGTGCTGGCTTTTTTGTAGTTCATAATGCACGGATAAACATTGTTACTATTTCAGTAAATTTAACAGTTTGATTAATTAACAAGTTTTTCTGACCAGGAAGTTGCATTAAGTTTTGCTGACTAGATAAAACATTACTAATAAGCGAGAAAACGACAGAAGGTAACTGGTTAGCTATTGAAGCAATAATTGATGGACATACTTCAGAGCATTAGTTAACTAGTTTATGAATGTATGTTCAAAAATATAATGAAACCTTGTAAATCAGACCTATATTATGGATATAAAATTCTAATGTAATACTGCATTTTGCAGAAAATGTTCCTCTAAATTACATGTTGAATTTTACCAGCCTTTTTTTTTTTTAACTCTGTGAACAGATGGTCTTGTTTTAAGCCATTTGCCTGATGGTCCAACTGCTCATTTTAGAATGAGTAGTGTCCGTTTGCGTAAAGAAATAAAGGTGAGGCTCCAACAAAATTTAAAAAAAAAAAGGGTAGTCTCTTGTTTAATGATAAATACTTTCAGTCTACTTAAACTGTCAAAACTGGTTGCACTTTTGTATGATTGGGCTGATCTTGTAAAGGTGTGTTTTTCCGTAAGCTAACAGGGGGCCAAGGACTAGTATATTCTACTTCCGTAAGCAGCATGTTTGCATTTTCATAGTTATTTGCTGAATTTAACTGTCTGCCAAGTATTTTTGTAGTTGTGCCAATATATAGCAGCTGATAACCTACATCAGTAGGGAATACCCAATGTATAGTATACACACAATAGGGTATATAAAAATAAGCAGTATAAAAGATTTCATTGGATGTAGTTCCTAGTCTTGAATAAAACCTAGTTTTTCTTACTCTTACAGCCCTGTCACCTCTTCTGTAGTAAGTATTGCTTACTTAGCCCTAAATAATTTGCAGTAAAACGTTTTGGGGTTTGGGTTTTTTTTGTTTTGAAATAAGTAACTTTTAAACTACATCTGTTCTTTAATTAAAGAATAATCCCATACACTCTTAGTTGGTGTTAGTACAGAAAGAAGACTCCTCTGATTAGCTGCTGTAACGGGTGCTGCCAGGAGTGGAAATCGGTGCAGGAGAGAGAAATGTAAAAATTACTTGTACTTTTTCATTCAGTTTATATTGTTGAACCAAAGATCCTTATGTTAGCAGCTGCTCTTTTATTTGTATACAAACTCTTTATTTGTATACGAACTTAAGTTGTGTTGGAAAAAATGACTAGGGCATGTTGTCATCGAAGTTGGCCCTGGTTGTCTTCCCCCTATTTTATTTCAAACTCTTCTTTGATAAAGTATTAAAACCCTTTTGCATTTGGTCTGTTCTTTGCATTCTTACCTGTGACTTTCATTTCAGCGAAAAGGGAAAGAGCCCACAGAACAGGCAGCTGAAGTAATCCTGAATAATTTTACAACACGGCTCGGCCATTCTATCGGTCGCATGCTTGCTTCTCTCTTCCCACATGATCCTCAGTTCATCGGAAGACAAGTAGCCACATTTCACAACCAGCGAGACTACATCTTTTTCAGATTCCACAGGTGATATTTTCAGCAAAACTCACAAATGAGGGAGAATGTTCTTGGACCTTACTTCCTAACTTTTTTTTTTTTCCTCCTCAAGATATATCTTCAAGAGTGAAAAGAAGGTGGGAATTCAAGAACTTGGGCCACGTTTTACATTAAAGTTGAGGTCTCTTCAAAAAGGAACTTTCGATTCCAAATTTGGAGAATATGAATGGATTCACAAGGTATGTCTAAGTAACGATAATAGTCCTGCTTGGAAAGGGAAACTAAATCTGACATGAAATTGAACCACAAATCTTAGCCTAAAAAAGCAGTATAAATGCAGTTCTCAATGCGGAAGTGTTTAACTGAAATATTTAGAGGTATATTTTGAGAAATATGCAAAGTAGAAGCATTCTGCTGTGTTGCAAGTCAAAAATAAAAATAGCAAGGATGATGAGTATCAATATACCGTTACTACTTATTTGCAGAATGTAATTTCTTTAACATATAAGCAAATGTGAAAAATGTTCCCCTGGTATAAGCTATTATAGGAAGCCCAGTTTTGTGCAAGGTGAGTGCAAAAAATATAATGTAAAAATGATTAAGCTATTTACATAAATGTCACTTCTTAAGAGTGAATGGAAAATAACACTGACCTTTGCACACCTTCAAGTGAAACAGGAGTATTACTCTAGGCAATGATTGATTACTTTTCCAGTCATTTTTACCATTAAATTGCAGTTGATTGATTGGCAAAAATTAGGAGTATACAAGCTATACCGGAAGGAAAATTCTAATACTCCTGGTGTAGTCCATGAAATGGATAATCTTGTTTAAGGACACGTTGTCTACTGTGAGTAGGCAGAGAACTACTACACGGTCTTTTGCTCTAAATCACTTAACGTCCAATTCTTCTCCCTTGTCAGTCTTGAAAAGTTGGCTATGAAGACTTAGCTACACCGTAACTGTGACACATCTCGACACATCTCACTACCTACCCTACTATAAACAGGAGTTGTCCTTGTTTGTATCCTGTTGCATGAATTTGCTGGTTAATAACTTTTCTTTTAAATTTCAGCGCCGAGAAATGGACACAAATAGAAGAAAATTTCACTTATAAGGGACAGCCATCTGCCAGTTGCTGGTGACCAGAAATACAACAGCTGCCTTGCACTATGGATTGTCTCAGACTCCTAACTAACGATAACGATACTGAACAGTATTTGTCTGAAGAAAGACAAACTGCAAACATTAAAACTTTTTACAGGAACCAATCAAGTGGGACGCATCTTTCTTCCTATGTTTGTGGCTAAATCCAACATGACAAGGACAGTGACTCTTTTTCCAGTTTAGCAGGCGAAACGATGGCACTGTCAGCGCAGCTTGTCATTTAGCTATCACTGTAGATTTGCCATGACTGCTGCTGTGCTGTAGAGATAAATTACATTTTGCAACATCAAAGAATAAATATTTTGGTTAAAGATATTCTCAGAATAAAGTATTTCTAGTTATGCAGCTTTTTTTTCTGTTAAGCAACTAACCCCAGACATCTTCCATTAATCAGGTAAGAGATAAATATTTTAAACCTCTGACTTACAGTATCCTGTTTCCTGACAGTATGGTGATAGTTTCCCAAAAAAGGTCTCCTATCTAGAAAACACTGAGAAGGCCGTATGCAATCTAAGAAGTTCTGTGGTATTCTATTTCATTCATGTGTTGCATAAAATAGCCATGTTGCTGAAGTTACAAAAAAATTATGCTTGACTCCTACAGGTATCTCTTCTGTAAATGTTGTATTTAGAAGAGTTATATATGCAAAGCAGTTGATATTCTTGTACACAAAAAGAAATAAACACCAATAGGAAAGAGGTCAGCTTGCAGGAAGTACCTAAAGCTATCTCATCTAAAAATGCTGCTCAGTGGAATGTGGAAAGGCTCTGAACAGGGTTTTTCCCATTGAAATCTTAAAAATGCTTCTTTAGCCTCATCGCTATACTGAAGTTGGTATTGCCTGCAGAATAAACTACTGTTCTGCCTTAAGTTTGCACATCCACTGGCAGCTAGAAAGCTAAGTTTCCTTTGAATTACTTTCTTTTCATATGCATCTACAGTAAATGCTTTCTCATATTTACCCAAAGATTAAAATGGTCATAGGCCAAGTCATCTACTAGGGTAGAATTACTCTTTTAAGATAAAGAATAATTGAGTTACTCTTTGTCCTTATTTAATGTCTATGATGTGGGACAGCTTATAGTTGAATTATAAACTAACAGCCCAAATTTTTTTTTTCTATTCTATTATGCTTCTAAGTATAGTGTTGATGAAGCCTCATTGTTCTGGAAGACTTACCAACCTCAGGCAAACTTGCAGCAGCATGGAATATTTAAAGACAGGCTCCTGTATATGCTCTCCAGCTGCTGCAGAGCGATGCAGGAACTGGTGAAGTGTCAACATATCCAGAAGTTAATCAACGTGTGACAGTAATTTCAAAACCAGACTAAGTCAAGACACTTTTATTTTTTTTGTTTGGCATATAAAACTGATTCCCTTATGAAACAGAAGTATTTTAACTAGCATACAGTTCATTTGGAGAGGTAGATGGTAAGAGGTTTGACAACAGTAGCAATTTTACAGTTAGATTTGGCACGTTAAAGCTAAGCTTTTGTACAGACTTCAAACCAGGCCACTCCTTGAGGCATTCTGCCCATACACACATCAGCAGCTAGGAAAAGATGCTAAAAGGTCTGAAAAACAAAAACAAAAATGTAGTTAGAAAAGTACCAATGCTAAATTAAGCAACTCTATGTCTAAGAACATGTACCTGCAGAATATGCTGTGGACCACTATTTAGAGAAAAAAAATCCTCAGCTGTTTTATAAAACTATTAGCTTCTAAAATAAACTTTTAAAACCATGAAGCTGTCCCCAGGGATACAAGAACATAATCAAAGGTGTTACAAAAGAACGGAAGCTTAGTGTCTCCTGGAAGCCAAATTGCTACGTAGGACAGAAAAAGTTGTTCCCGGTCACTTGGTGCCCACAGAAATACCAGGCATCTACTTGGCCTTTGAGAAGCAAGGGGAGCCTGTGTAACTTAACAAATCACACTTCCTCTTCACTCCACAGAGGTGGTGTTGCCTGTGCGAACGTGAACTGTTGGCTCATTGTGAAAACACCAGGATTACAGCTAAGAAATTGCCTATTTTGAGGAAGTGCTTGCAAAAGACACAGTGAAGGAAAGAAATTTTCCATATAGGTAGTGTAACTAAAACTGCTGTTCTAATTACTTTTGCCTGTAACATCAGCAGAAGTGAGTGCTCTGTTCCAAAATCAGAGAGGGGGAAGATAAGGGCTGTAATGGGGAAGGAGAAAATATTAAGCCTTTTATGCCCTGTGTACACACACGTGTGTGTGAGACAGAGGAAACATTATTTCCTGACATCCACACCCAGGAATTACTAGACCTTGACAAAGTTCAGTGGGGAACTGTATGTGTCAGCGAATAAAGTACAGTTTATTTGGCTTTTTATAGGTTATCAGTCTATAATGCTTACAGATGATCTGATTTCTTCCTTGAATTACTGCTTAAAACTGAAGCTACAGTAGCGTGAACACAAGTCAGCATCTAAGAATAGTATCTTTTAAATAAGGGTAGTTGATAAAATTCACGGTAACTTTAAAAGCTACAAGAACTGTAAAGCACATCTCAGTTACACTGCTGTAATTCATTACTCAAAACAATGGGGAAAGTGTTTTTCTTTGCTGTGTTACAATTAACTATTTAGTTAAGCATCAACCTCTATACCGTGTTACTACTATGGTCTTTACTAGCATGAACCGCTTTGTTTATACACAAACTTTTTGGAAGCTTTCTACAGTCTGCTTGAGGGGAGAGCAATTTTAAAGAACAAATTTAACAATTCAGTCTGACTGTGGTCACCTTTCTATAAAGCTGCCTAAATAACACAACTTAAATCTAACAAACTACAGTTCTTTAGGTGATGTTAGTCAGCTACAAAAACAGGATTCTTCAAGGTGAAGACTCACTATGAGATTTCTAAGGATCGTGAGCTACGGTTACCTCTATCAGGTGCTTCAAAATAACGTATAGTGTCTCACCCCCAACAGATCCAAGTCAAGGGGCAACAGAGAAGAGGGACACAGTAAAGTTATGCGTTTACTGTGGGCAAAATATCAAACTATTGTGACTCTCGGGGTCTTGGTGAGACTGCTGTGGATCCAAACCTCACCTTCTAAACAGGTTAGTCTAAAATCTAATCACCAGATTTTCAAGGAATGCCAGATTAGTAGTCTTCACAGTGATAGCAGTAGTGCTAATGAACCTATAAAAGTTTTGGAATGAAAATCCAAATGAATATTCAACTGTTTCTACTTATTTAAACTGCTACCCATGTAGTAGCTTATCTGAGCGGAGTATGGGCCTCAATACAATTCTTGGACTACAGTTTTGTTGGGTTTTTTTGGCTTAGAGGGTGTGTCCTACAGGGGACAGTGCTCTTTGTGGAGACCACCACCAACCTATCTTTGGAAGTGCTCTTTAAAAGTTTAAAGTCTGCTTTTATCTACCACAATCAAGATTCACCATGTACGCTGTCAGGCAGGTAATCCTACATGAGAAAAGGGAAATAATACCCTTCCACAGGAGCAAGATACAGCAGAATTACTGTACAGCCAGGTTAGTCCAAGCAGCAGCTCCATAGTAGCTGGCCCCACTACTGCTTTGCTCTGCAACAGCTAAATGCCACACATAACAACTTCTGAACAGCATTGTGTCCAGTACACAGCTACTACCAGAACAGGGGAGGAGGGGCCCAGAACGGGGATCTTGACCAACACCAGCTGCAGAAGTCAGCTGTCTCTTCTCAATACTTCTAATACAGGCAGTCTCAGTTAAAGCCAGCTATTTTTAATGACAGAACAGTTTACAAATTGTAATTCAAGAACTTACCACTGAAAGATACTGAAGTAATTCACGTAATTACAAAAACGAACAAACTTTCTGGGGTCTGAATGGATTTGTACTTGATGATACTCCTGTCAGTAGGGGATCGTGTTGTGCGTTCTGCAGGCAGAACTGCTTCAAGTCTGCTGCAGCCTGAGAAACCTAGTTGTAATAAAAGCTGGTGTTAGAACTCACTGAATACTCTTTACTGAGGATGTAACTACATCAAAAAGTATAAAGAAATACTGCTGAATGATTCTGCAATACAGCTTATGTAAATTTTATACTGTAGTTTCATCACAATTTTTTTTGTTTCTTAAGAAGTTGCACAATATTAGAGTAAGAAATAATTGGGAAAATTTTCAGATTAAGCTTCCAAGCCTGAAGGGTGAAAGATGAGCAACATCTTGGAGATGGCTTTGTTAAATAAATGAAGATCCTTGCTCTAGCATAAATAGTTTAAAAACACAGCCTATAGTTTCAGATGCTCTACTCGACTGAACTGGCATTTTATCCTCCCTCGGAAAGCCATCCTTATCATAAGATACCGTATGGGTTTTTTGGTAGGCTGTACCTACCTAGAAACAGAACAGTGAAAAAACTGTCTTGCTTTTCTGTGCCGTAACTCTGAACTCGCAAAAAAAGAACGATCAAAGTTTCAGAAAGCAGCGTCTTCGCTGGCACCTTGTATTTGCAGTTTGCCCAGAGTTTCTTTAACCGGACAGGGCCCAGCCTCGCCCCGACAGTGCCCGAGTCAAACGCACCCGGTGTGCCCCGCAGCGCAGGCTCCATTTTACAGTCCCGGGGCCAGGCCAGCCGAGGCAACCGGTGGCGAACCCCGGCTCCGCTGCGCC